CATGTCTTTGCACGTTCACAATGCATTGTGCTGTAGTGTGAGTCCGGTGAAAGACTTCCAAAGTCCAGAGGCCCTATCAAATGATCCAACAGAGAAACACGCTTATCTGTTACATGACATATAAGATACAAATGGAGACACTTTGCCTTCCTAATATGCTGTATGTATTTGGAAAGGCAGGTACTTTCCCCGGCTGTAATGTCAACACGGGCACCTGACCACTGACTCACTTTCTCTCCTGACTCCTCGTGCTCCCATCTCTCCTCTTACTCCGACTTGTTCTCTTATCCTGATGAATCGACCTTCGGTTCACAGGCCTGAGCAGCTTGTTCACATCACATATCTGTGGCGGCAAAACCTGCTACACGGCTGTTGCTAAGTAACTGTTGAACCCGTGCCTGCTAATGTGTGCAATGTTTGGCATGTCACCATAGCGATGTTACGGAGGGCTGGGTTAAATATTTGCAAAGAATCACTTATTAGAGGCACGGGCTGGTGAAACTGTGTCTGTAGAGGGGCTTTATGAGGAACTGGTCCCGGGCTGAAGGGATAAAGAAAATGAAACAAAAATAAAAGTGATAGAATCTAAAGAGGAACTATTTATTCAAATCTAAATTGGTAAAACTAATGTTTAATGTCTTTCTCATCAGTATCAATTTTGTTTCAGTATATTGGAAACATCAACAGCCCTCAGCAGTCATCTTGACCTCACCTGGCAGTCACCATGTGCCATATGATGATGACTTGGCAGTTTTTTTAACCATCCAATGAGTCAGACCCAAAAAGTCCCTAAGTCCTTTCAGGGATGAACGGCATGAGTTGTGTCTTTAGAAAGGAATCCTTAAGGGATACAAATATACTCTTTATTAAATGAAACCCCGCCTCAGTGTCGCAAGTATAAACGTTTTGTAGTCATGATGGCAGATGCAGTTCAGAAGGAGTTATTAAGTCGATTTTTTACACCACAACACAGTTGAACACTGCCATAATAACCGATAATATTATGAATTTAAATGTTTTCTGACGTTGTTTCAACCAAATACCTAGTATTCTGATTGAGTAACATGTAAAGGCAGATGCTACATGCTTGATAAGGGTAAACACAGGCCTAGTTAATGATCCATCTGTAGAGCTTAGTGACATTACACAGTCACAGTACACGCCATGACGGCACACTATAGGGATGTGGGGTTTATTTTGTACGACGCTTGTTCTTCACGACACGATACCAATTTCCTTTATGTGCATGCCAGTTTGTAGCAAAGAGAGGGAACTTACTGTATGTTACAAAATCTAATTATGCATAGTGGCTGGATGCTTTTTAGGCTCTGTAAAAAGGTGCTTTTCCAGAGGACAAATGGTTTTCCTATACTATGTCACCCCTTAAAAATGACATGGTAAACACATATTACATAGTGTAATATATGTTTTCATAATAAGAAATATATGTTTAAGATTGAAAAAACTGATCCCCTTAACCATTTTCCAGGTTCTGCAAGATCTTACTTTATATTTGTTTATGGATTAGTGAGATCTTTGCATCCTATTGCATCGATTTCTTTACCACACATATTCGCAAAGTTTACACATAGGCCTACTTACTGACTGTTTTTATTAGATCTCTGATGCAGTGTTGTGCGATCAAGTCCAAACATGTTAGAAAACTACATGTACTCTGGCATGTCACTTAAGAAAAACCCCAGTGGAAAACCTGGCATTTAGCACTCGCTCACTTACAGTAGTCAACAAAGGGGGAAAAAAGGGAAAAAAAGATACACAACAACCTGGAATCCACCGTCAGCAGGAATTCTTCTTTAAGCTTGTGTTTGTGTGAGCATGTGTGTGTGTCCCTCCCTGTTAGAGTGACTTTCCATGCAACTGAGGCAAGAGACAGAATAGAAACAAGTATAGTGAGGTAACCACAACACACACACACACACACACACACACACACACACACACACACACACACACACACACACACACACACACACACACACACAGAAACGCATATTCCCGACATGCATGTCACTGCAACCATTTTCTTACCTTACCGCCCATACCAATTTATCTGTCTTCCGGATGAGAACGTTTCTAAAAAAGGTACAAGAAAATTAAAAGGAAAGGGATAATTTTTCCACACCCTTTATACAGCCCTAAAATATACTTTCCAAAGTATGTAATGCTCTCAGATTTATAGTTGGGCAAGTTATTTTTATCTCGCTGCATTTATTAATAGCTGAACATGAGAGACCTGTTTGGCTTCTGTCGGCGTGTCTGTCCATCTGTCTGCGTAACAGGGCTGTGAGTTGGGATAAACGGGGGGGGGGCAATGCTCACTGGAAGATTCTGACATGAAAATCTTAATAATCGAGTATCCATACGAAAGCATATAAATAATTAATGCTACATTTGTTCATTAAAATGAAACCCAACAACAAACAAATGGTATTTAAATGTATGAAAATTAAAGGCTCTGATGTAACTATTTATACACTGAACAAGAAGTGAGAACAGAGATGTATTCTGGCGGGAAATTGTATTGAAATTAGGGTTGTCGCATACTTATTTATTGAAGTGATAAGATAGTATATCAACAATATTTGAATTGGGTGTTTTACTTCCTTTTCATATTGCTTCCCGTGTGTATTTTCCTTTTGAGAGACTTTTTTTCTTCTAGTCGAGCTGTGTGATCTTTTCAAACAGACTCATTGTTTAACAAAAGCATGACTCCTACATTGAGTATATGTGTAGACTGGATACAATAAAAAAATATTCTGCTGATTTTCTACAGGCATTTGATCATTGCAATGTGTGTTTTTTGCACATTATCAAATGTTTGAATCACTTAATCTAAGATGACCTGCTAGATCTACCTAAATCTCCTACCTCTCCTGACTCAAGTATTTAAATACTTTTCAAAATAATGTGAGTAAAAATATTGGCAGCCAAAACGTTTTTGTCATGGCTCTAACAACATACCTTTCAAGCGAAATGATTGATTGCTTAGAAATAGATGTTAAATATGGTCTTGTATCAGGGGCCTGGATCACATTTAGGGCACGCTAAGCAAAAATTAACAACTACATTTCCACAAGATAAAGACCATTTGGTATACCTTCAAATCATGTTATACTAGTTATGTGTCTTTTAAATTTCATAATCTGTTTTGTGTTTTTTTCTGGTGGCACCCTTTTCAATTTTACATTGATTTTCAATACTTGCACAATAATTATTAGAACGTATGAACCCGTCATTGCCAGGACTGATTATGACTCATGTGAGTGGGTGAATCAAGCAGCAGTTAAGAAAAAGATGTCGTCTACCGATTAGCTGAAATTAGCATGAACGACTTATAGAAAGAAAACGGAAGGTGATTACATTGCTTACATCAGATCATTTATGTGTGTATAAGTCATTTCTTGCAGTTCCACCAGGTCAGGAGACTCTTTCTTGCTTATCTCTCTGCTTTGCCCGCCCCCATTTCCCACATATCCCACAGCTAAGTCTAAGTAATCTCTTCTGTATTCATCTGATTTCATGAATGAAACACAAAGCAAAGCTTCTTTGGTCAAGAGTCAATAGCTCTGCTGAGATTATAAAGCTATTTCAAGCTTTGATTTAATGTGCTATAAACATATTTATAGGATACAATATCAGAGTTTAGATATGCAAGTCAGGTGGCTCTGTATGAATACAGCCTTTGTGATGTGTTTATCAAGGAAATGACCCTGAATGAGTGCATTAAATAGTACCTTACAAAATAACACGCTTTTTACTGTAATATGGTTTGAGCTGCTCGCTTCTCTGAAGTCCTAGGAGAAGGAAATCAAAAAAAATTGCCGCAACGCTCACCATAGAAACTAGAAGAAGGGGGAAAAAACACTGACAATAAACTTCTGGTAATAACATTTTCAGTTTTGTTTATGAAGTGACAAGTTGAAGAATGATTTCTGCTGTTAGTCATAAATATTCTTCCTTATGAAGCTTTCATAAAATCAACTTTCTAAATGTGCGTGGTAGTTAAATTGTACAAAGTATAGAATTTATGGTGGAGGAAATGCTTGACTCTGAGGAACATGGTATTTCTGATGAAAGAACAGCAGATGACTATTGGGGTTGATTCTGTATAGATTGCTTAGGCCTGGTGTTTATTTTTACTCAGGTCTATCTTGTTTTCAGCCCAAAGGTTTCTGTCTTCTGCTAATCAATACTCCTGTTGGTTGACTTCTGATAACTGTTGGACTTGTTCACTGCTTTGGTGGAATATTGGATCCCCCAATCACAACCAAAACCAAAGTAAATAAGAGGAAATATGGGTGCATGATTTCCGCCAAACAATGATTCCGTCAGTTCAGTGATTCTCAGCTCTCTAGGAAATGAGAATGCATAGAAAATGTACAGTACGTAATTGGGATGACAAGATGATCTATTACACTTCCTGAAAACCCACCATTAGTCATAGGAATGTATATACCGTAAATGTATGCCTGTGTATGAGTGTTCAAGTGTTTGCTACAGAAAAGCCAGCTTAACTTAAATGTGAGATGACGGTGTAAAGGTTTAAACAACAGCCTTATCTGCCACTTCACAACTGGGTGCTTCAGATCCAGAACCATTTCACACAGCTGGAATAATGTATGACTCTGCAGGAGATCTCTAAATGAACATAGAGAATAAGAATAAGTGTAGGAAAAACAAGTGTGTGCTATAGGCCTAGATGGAGAGCATGCATGAGAGCTATGTAAATAAGCCACTTTGCTTTCACATGCCTACGAAACTGAAGCATTTCACACAGCTATAGCTAAAAATACAGTTTTATTTCTTTCTTTTTTTTTGTGTTGTTGTTTGAGCACCCGCCCTCTGAGCTCACTGTGAAACTTGAGGCGGAGGTATGGTCATCCGGGAACATAGCAGTGGAAACTCCTCCTAGATCTGGGGGAGGGGTTTCTGAGGCACATAAAGCCTGAGCTGAAATCTAACTTGACTAACGTCTGGAAACAGGTACAAACAGTCAACCCTGGATCAAAGCTGAATCTTCTTCTTTTTGGCCAAAGGGATACAGCATGTCCGAAATGCTTGACATCTTCACGAAGGTGAGTCGAAGTTTAGGAATTTAGTTTTGGAAAAAAAAAGCTTGATAAAGTGTGAGAGGGTCAGCTTTGTAACTCCTCTCCGCAAGTGGTTGTTTATTCTTGGGCATTTGTATTCCTCCGTGAATCACTGATCTGACAGTGAATTCCTTTTGAACCGAGTTTAGTCACAGAGGATTTCTTCAGTTTGAAGATTTAATGAGATAAAAGAGACGAGCTTGTTTGTTTCTTCAATTTCAAACTTCCACTCTCTGAATACTCATGAGAAATAGAAACAGTCAAAACTGCAGTTATATACATTTAATTTGTATTTCGTAACTGCATGAAACTTGGCAGATGAAAGGTTTTTTTGTTGATGACTTTACATTTTAGTTTTGTTGTCTTCTATCTTAAATACATTGTTTTGGCATTTGTGTCTTATTTCGTTCTTCAAGAAAAAATGTATATCCTTAATATTTACCTATTCTAGATCATGTTATCGTTTGTTGAAAAAAATACTCTAAACAGACGGTTTTGTAGGAAATAGTTAACAATAAAAATTGATAATACGATATATTTCTTTGAAATGAGTAATAAAGGCGTGTATAGTAACTTTGTCAATCTTCTGTAACAGAACCTTATGACCCTGGCCCTGGATGAAGCGTTGCTTCCGAAACAATCTCAAATCAAAGCCCCGGGGCAGAGTCGGCTGCACCGGTCAGCCTCCTTCTTCTCTCCCCCCTCCCCTCCTCCCTCCTCGAGCCACAGCTTGAGCACCGAGCATGTTAACAATAATGAAAACGGCAGCCCTTTCTGGTCCTCCAACATCTGGAGCCAGGGCCCTGAATCCAATCCCAAACAGCCCCCCTTCAGGCCTGACCGCTCCATGAGCCTGACGGAGTCCAGCAGCAGCCTGCTGTCCTCCTTCAGAAAGCTGTCTAACCTGGACGCTTTTCCCTCTACTACCACTGTGGCCCCGCCGCCCGGCTTTGCTCCCTCGTCTAACCTCCCACCCCAGATTCAACAATTGGTGGCCCCCAATCGTTACAAGACGGAGCTTTGCCGTGGCTTCCAGGAGACTGGCAGCTGCAAGTATGGCAGCAAGTGCCAGTTTGCCCATGGTGAGGCCGAGCTGCGTGGATTGTTCCGCCACCCCAAGTACAAGACAGAGCCCTGCAGAACCTTCTACAACTTTGGTTACTGCCCCTATGGCTCACGCTGCCACTTTCTCCATGAGGACAAAATCAGCGGAGGTCCGCTACCATCTTCCAAATACCAGAATCAACAGCAGCCAACTCCTGGTGGTCAGAATCCACGCCACCAGTTGCGCCAAAGTGTCAGCTTCGGTGGCTTCCTGGGCTCTTCACGCAGCTCGCCTCCTCCCTCATTCCTCTCATCCTTCAATGATCCTAACCTAGGCTTCAGCCGTGCTCCGTCTGTTTCCCCACCTCCCGCTGACCTCCTCTCCCCAGTGTTCGGTGACTCCCTGCAGCGGGAGCCAACAGCATTCCAGTTTGGCAACCATCAGACCCGTGCCAGCACCGGAGACATCCACAACATTCCTCTCACCATGGAGCCAAAGGCCTCACGCTGTGTGTGTGGCCATGGAAATAACTTTAACGGCAACAACAACAGAGTCTTCAACAGCATTGAGGATGGGCACAAGCAGGACATGCCCTTTTCTGGTCCCGGAGGCCACGCAGGATTCATGAAGCCTGCTGGCCTCCAGCGTTTTTCCTCCGAGGACTCCCTGGAGGACAGCTACAGCAGCAGCAGTGGAGGCTCCAGTGGAACCGAGTCTCCAACATTAGACGCAGCCAGTAAGAGGCTCACGGTGTTTGAGCGTCTATCCCTGTCCGACTAAAGGGATGGAAAAGGGAAGGAGCTGAAGGCGACTGTTAACGGCGCTTATTTATCTGAACTTTCTGCAGAGCCAGATCTGATCAGGACAAGTCCATTTTTTAAACAATAACACTTAAAGTTCTTAATTACGTTAAAATGGAACTTGACTTGGGAAAACTACACATGATGAGATGATTTTAGTACCCAAATGTTATCAGAATATTTTTATATTTACAAATATTATGTAGCTTATTCGACCTTTGTATGTGGTCTTCCATAAAAATGAACTCCTCTGCAGGTCTTGACAATGCCAGTAAATATTCTGGTTTGTACTTACCTTAAATCTGTAGTGATCAAAACGGCTTATCTTTAGTGAATCATTAATTCCTACGCCTTAAAGATTCTCCCTGCCTCATAGGCTATTTACTCTTGGTGCCACCAACAGTATGTTTGATTCAGTAGCCTTAATCAATGAGACCTGACATGTGTCATTGATGCCATTTTATCTGTGATATGCACTTTAAAGCTAATCCTAAATGGGAGAAACTGTCAAGTCTCCCAGTAGCATTCAACCAAAGCTTCATACTTCATTCTGCTTGTGTGTGTGTGTGTGTGTGTGTGTGTGTGTGTGTGTGTGTGTGTGTGTGTGTGTGTGTGTGTGTGTGTGTGTGTGTGTGTGTGTGTGTGTGTGTGTGTGTGTGTGTGTGTGTGTGTGTGTGTGTGTGTCATTTTCCTGAGACCTGGGGTGCAAGCATGTATACAGTAAGTTGCAGAATGCTAAAAGATCAAAGTGTGCTAGCAGCAAAATGTATGTCAGTGAGTTTGGATTTTAATATCTCTATCCTGACAAACTTTACGAGATTTATTATGTAAAACATTCTGCTATCTTTTCTAGTTTGTAAATTGCACCCCATCATTAATTGTCCCGTTTATTTGACAACCTGGTTCAGGGACTTTAACACCACAGTATTCCTTTCAGTTCTTGGTTGCCTTGTGTTGTTTAACTTAAACTAATATATTTATTATGATATTTATTTGTGTCTAAGGAAAAAAAATGTATTTTGTACTTATTTATGGAGAAATATTTCAACGTCTGTGAAATACCAATGTGAGAAAAAGCAGTAAAAAAAAAGAAAATGTTATATTTTTAATTGCCTGAAAGGGAAAAAACTATTTCTGAATAAAGAAATGAATGTATGCTTGTTTTGACTCCAATGTGTTTTTCAAGAATTACATGCTTAAACATATAAGCCGGTTACATACCTTAAGGATTATACAATAATATCATTTGCAGCTTCACATTAACAGTTTTGTACTTTTTTATGTTTTTTTAAGGATAGGATTAAGGCTAAAGTATGAGTTATCATTTTCCTTAAATATGGGATGTTATCAATACTAACAACAATTGCATTGATGATTGTACAGTGAACACTATTGGCCCTATCTTGTAAGCAGTAAATAGTGCAGGAAACATTTTAAATAAATACATATTCAACTTATCAAGGAACTTATTTTACACCACTTTTTAATAAATGGCTGAAAATGTAATTATTTTAACTGAAACTATTTTGCATGAAAGGTAAATAGTAAATATGAACAAAATACATAGGTCAGCTTTAAACTTCAAACTAATATATCCATAAGACCCCGTTTCACTTCTGATAGTTCAGAACATCACTGTCTTTTTACATACATACAACACTTGATATTACATACGTTGTTTTCTGTTGCAGGTTATATACAGAGAAACAGAAAGAAGCATGGATGTGGAACTATGAGCCTTTGTTTCTCCCTCTTCTGTGTTTTGTGGCATACAGTGTCTTTGTTGTGTATACAATAGACTACAGCATTTGGATCAACTCAAGTCTACACATTATCCCACTGCTTTCAAACGGCTACAAAGGATACTGCAAATTGGTGTAAAAATACTTTTGGATCATACAATTCTTACAAATACATAAATAGGATATGAAAACATGTATGTTTCCATAAGGTCCTACAGTACACATCGAATGGCAGGTCCAAAACAATAAAGGGTCCAGATGAGGTAACAGCGTCGGTAGTTCACATTAAAAAAAAAATTGATTTAGAAATCTAAAATAATATGGAATTGCAGACACTTGATATTTCCGAAACTTATTTTGGCAAGACGGCCTGTGGTCAGGCTGGACAGTAACCAAAGGTATTACAAAATGTCATGGCAGAACCAGCCAATGCTGCACAAGTTTGGCTTAAATGTCTGTGACACTAAACTAAATCTAGTCCTTGGTCAAATCTACACATGGGTTACAGTTTCTTTGAGAAAGTGAGCCCTCACTTAACATCGGTACTGATCCAAATCCCTTTTAGGCAGCATCATTGCAAGATTATCATGCAATTTAGTGATCTGGGTGGGAGAGAAAAAAAAACACAACAAAATGTACGTGTAACCATCATGCTCGGAATTCACATGTGGTTGACGCCTGAAATAGCCTACCTGGCCACATAATTAGGATGACTCCACTTTGGTCATGGACAGACAAGTCATCCATCTCATCCATCTGTTCTTGAGTAAAACAATAGGGAATAATGGGAAAATCCCCAAAATAGAGATTTGTAAACGTATACTATAGGAATGATAGGGCCAAGAGGGCTTACAAAAAACATTTTGCTTTTTAGGACCAACCAATGCAAAACATGTTTTCTCTCTGTCACATCTGACGTATTTTATGTATAAACCCATTCAACCAGTGAACAGTTAACCCATTAAAATTATGTTATGTACAACACAACATGTAGAAAAAGCAATGGGGTTACTCATAGTGTTCTCTTTTTACTGGAAAATTCCAGCTGCTGTCATCTGCAGCATTCAACCAATTGATTGATTGCTTCTGCTTCCTGGGCTGACTTGCCAATGTTCAGAGCTAAAAGGATAGGAACTTTTATGGACATGGGATTGTGTAAGGCACGTTTACAAGTTAAGCAGAAGTTCATGAAAACCCCCTGTTGCAATTTCCCCTTTACACTCCCAGTGTGATCTTGTGTTGAGCAACCCGCAACCATAGCCACCACCCCGAAAACGCTGCCAAAGCACTGGATTCTGTGTAACAAGGCTGCAATCTGGAAAAAGGGCAATGCATTTGCCACAGTAATGATGTCTGGGAAACAGACACAAACAAAAGAACTTTCAGAAATTGAGAAACTCGTTGCCTCAGTCTAAAATGTGTTTGAGATATTTTTTACGAGTTGACCTCAGAACCTTCAACATTGGCAAACAATGACTAATCTTCACAACGCATGATTACAATTCTGCTTTTTTTCGAAGTGGACTATCATGGTTGTGATTTTGAGCAGCTGATGTAACAAAATACATTGACGTTAACAGGTCTGGACAGTGCAGTTTGAAGTGCAGAGATGAATACAAATTATTTAGAATCTGTCCAATCTGAGGGAAGGTTTTATAAGGACTTTTGTATTGTATTTACAATGCTACACTGGGGTTGTTTCTTAATAACTCTTATTACTGTCTCTTATTCTTAAAATGACAAAGACATTCTATATGTCTGGTTTTTATACCTAAACTGTATGGCCTGGTTAAAATGAACTCTCAAAATTTAGCCTGCTGGGTCTGGTTAATATGGCTTGCTTTCAACACAGTCATTGGCTTTTATCCACACAAACTCTGGTGTGGTTCTTTGGTGGTGAGAACATATGGTGGTCCAACCACAGGATTGTGTGATAGTGGATACTGGTCACACTCTTTCAACAACTATTGTTACTGCCCAAATAAAAATAAGAAATTATTTCACAATTTGTGAACTGCATTCATCCCGGGTCATTTGGTCCCCATGGTAATGTGTAACCATGTAAAAATGTGTGTGGATTTTTTCCACAGGGGTTGATAACAGGTTTAAACAAAAGCGTGCTATACTTTGGAAGTTCCTTTACAAAAGTGAGTTTTTAAAAAGTGTGGTGATACATTTTTTCCAAATTGCAACGCAACAATTTCTCCTTTTCTAAGTTTGTGATGAAGTATGAATAACTTCATTACTCAAGTAATAAAACAACAAGGGCCAGTATGCATCTTTCTTTTAGATCACTTTTTGTAGTATGGCCATTTCAATGGTATACAACACAAATACATTATACACATATATATAACATAGCATGCAGACACCTTGTGCAGGGGATACAGACCCAAAAACATGGCCTACGCATTGTGGTCCAACAGTAAGTGAAAGAGAAAAAATTAAGTTGTGAAGGCATATGCCTTTTGTGTCCTCTGTCTACACCAGCATGGGAAGGATATACTTGTTTGTGTGTTATAACCAATTGAGAAGAAAACATATCTGTAAATACTTAAATAGAACAACACATTGTTGGTGTTTTTACTAAGTCACCGAAATACACTCCAAGGGATACTTTTACCCACCTTAATGTCTTACATATGTTTTTTGTGTATGTTAAGTGTCCTTGCATTCCTAAAATGGAAACAGACATACACATGTCCTGCAATAAAAGATGATATCTCAAAAGCTATGCTTATGATAAGCAACATTTGGCAAAAACTGAAAAGTTGCTGCTGAAGTTTTAAAACAAAAATGGGACTGAAAAGTGTTTAACATAATGGTTAATGTGTCTTTTCTGTTCCATGTGCTGGATTTTAGGTATGGATGAACAAACGTAAATAAGAGACACACTGGTTTAGATTTTTGTAATGACTGGATTTCAGCTTTGGCTACCACAGTGCATTGTGTCTTGTTCCCCCTTGAACCAATGGCAGGATGTGTTGCTATGGAGATGGACAATGACCACAAAGTGTAAACAGCAAAGACAAAACGAAGTGGACCAGTGTGTTTGTGTGTTCGCAAATAATCACGTCAAAGCATGTTTTTTTTAGAGCAGACTGGTTAAAGTTCGCCAGACTCCAAAGCCCTTATATGACACAATAATGTAGAGCTGCAGTTTTCTTCCGTCAAACTAACTTCATGATCAATATGAGAAAATATATTAATTTCACCATGTTTGTTAATTTAGTTTCACAACATCTCAACCTTATTATTCAACCACTGCAGCAGGTCATTCTCTTAACAAACGGCCTAACATCACCACCACCTTTAGCAGGAACTGTTAATGATCAACCACAAAGCTGCTGCTGCCGTCAAAACTCTCTTTACCCAAGTCACCTGATCCTGAGCCCTGTGCACACAATACACACACACACGCACGCACGCACGCACGCACGCACACACGCACACACACACACACACACACACACACACACACACACACACACACACACACACACACCTGACACTTTAGAGATAAAGTTCAAACCTAGATGGAGATATATATAAAGCAAATGCATGAATGATTATGTAGTCTAAAGGTGGATAACAGACTGACAGATACCTTATCGTTAGAAACTTAAGCAACAGTTACAAAAGGACAAATCAGGCTTAACTGCTCATAAAAAACAGCGGATAGTAAAAAGACATTTCATTGTCCGAGCACTGTGGGAAAAGGTGGTGAAAAGGTGGTGAAAAGTGTACATTTGTTTCTATCAATAGGTACAAAGAGACGTATCTGTCAGCAATTTCTTTCACATTTGCTGCTGGTCGAGCCAAATCTATTGTAACTTCTGAACTTTAAGCAATCAGCAGCTAAGATTGGATAAATCAATGCAACAGTCACATTCCAACCTAAATCTGCATATGTGTGTTTGAATGCTTTCATGCGTATAATCAAGCACAGTAAAGTTTCGGCCAAGATTTTTTTATTTTCTTTATAGCCGCTCTGAAACCTCTCCTTCCCTCTCTGCCTCTCGTTCTGTCATAACCTGCAGATTAAGCATTATGGTTGAGTAATCCTTCAACCCCAAACCTTCGTCAACCATTCGTAGAGTGACGGAGAATGTTACGTAACTTCTGCTTTGCTAACTAGGTCATTGGAAAGCACTAGCTGTTTTTTCTCCTGGAAAAGATAAAACACGAGAGGTTAATGCACCTTTAAATACATAGAAACTGGTCATTTGAGCTTTGTCCCAATACTCCCCCTAAACACCCCTCTTCATTGGAAGTTTCGTGCAGTGGCCTCCAAAAAAAGCCAATTCTACAGCACTACTGAACGAGACATGAGTCATGATCACAAAGACAACGGCAGGCCGTGAAGGCTCATACACTCTTATCCGTTGTCTTGTTAACTTTAGTTTACGACCAAATTA